GCACCAGCTCCCGGACGACAAGAGTCCTCTGCACCCACCGGGACAGCTCCAACTCCAGAACCAGAAACTCCAGCTCCAACTCCAGCTCCAACTCCAGCACCCCCAGAACCAGAAACTCCAGTGCCAACTCCAGCACCAACTCCAGCTCCAACTCCAGCACCCCCAGAACCAGAAACCGGTACAGGAACAGGCGCAGCACCAACCTCTCGAGAGCTAGCACCAGCGGCACGCTGCGAGGAGGACTGTGGGGAGGGAGGCTGTACCGGAGGGGCTACCGAAGGAGGAGGGGTAGCCTGGGACACACCTGACGGGGCTGGACCAGGGGGGGGAGGCTGTACCGGGGGAGCAGGAGGGGGGGCTACAGTCAGGAAGAGGGGGGGAGGAGGAACCGGGAGACCTCGACTGGGGTACCTGACGTAGTACGGAGTGGACTCCTCGAAACGGACGTCACGGGAGTCAAAGAACCGGTGAGAGGGAGGGTGGTAAAAGGTGAAGTCAGAGGAGTCCTCAGGAAAACCAAGGAAGACACAGGGGACGGCACGAGGCGAGAGCTTGTCCGCGGAGGTGTCGCGGACAAGAGCCAAGCACCCCCAGACGCGAAACCGCGACGCAACACCAGGGGACCCTGTCCAAAGACTGGTCGGTGACACCTCTGGTCGAGAGACACGTGGCCAGAGGTTCAGCTGGTGCGCGGCGTACCTGACCGCGTAGGGCCACAGAAAATGGGGGGCACAGGCGTGAGTCAGGGAGGTGCGGGCGATCTCCATGACCAGGCCTATGCGGCGCTCAGCAACCCCATTCTGCTGTGGGGACTCTGGAAGCGTCCAGGACTGACGAATGCCCTGCTCGCGACAGAATCCAGCGAGAATGCCGGAGCGAAACTCACCCCCACGGTCGGAGTGGAGACAGCTGACACGACGACCACGAGTGTCCTCGGTGGTGAGCAACCACCTGATCAGCGTAGAAGTCACCTCAGACTTCTTCGCCAGAGGGAACACTGTGGTGTAGCGGGAGAAGTCGTCAACGACCACCAGAAAGTAACGCTCACGCTCAGGGCCTAGACGAGGGGCGGGGCCCCAGACGTCCAAGTGAAGCGTCTCAAAAGGCTCGGTGGCCGGACGTAGGGAGGAGGAGTGAGGGGTGGCGCGCAGCCGACCCTCGACACAGGGACCACACGGCGGCGCAAGCGAAGGCGGCAGCGACGGCAAGACACGTGGGAGGCCTAGGACAAGACGCTGACTGGACATAGCGCGCAGACGAGGAAGGGACGGGTGCCCCATCCGGTGGTGCCACAGAACGGTGGGGTGGGCAAGCGACCGGCAGGAGCACGACGCAGCGACTGGAACAGACGTAGGAACCTGACACGACACAGACACCTGGGGGGACGAAGCAACCTGGTGAGACGCGGGGACCCGAACGGGGGGGGGGACCGGGGGCAGTGGCAGTAGGGGGGGCTGCTGGTGCGGCCGCTGGTGCTGCTGCTGCTGCTGCTGCTGCTGCTGCTGCGGCTGCGGCTGCTGCTGCTGCTGCGGCTGCTGCTGCGGCGCACGCGGGCCAGTGTGAAGAGTGTAGAGACCCGAGCCCGGCTCAGCAGTAAAGGTAGCAAGAGGCTGGTAAGAGTCTCCGTCAACACACACCGCAGTCTCTCCAGAAGGCTCAAACCACACACCCACGTGCTGACTCACAAGGGGTCGCACGCCCACCAAGTTCCGGGAGAACGAGGGGACGTGAAACCCAGTGAGAGACCCGGAGGGAGCAGCAGGACACGGTAAAGTGGTAGTGTGACGTGCAGTGACTGGTCCCGTAGTGGGATCAGCCAACGCAACAGAAACAGGTGCAGGAAGTGGTGTAAGTGTCGTGCTGTCCCGGAAGAAGCAGTGGGAGGCTCCAGAGTCCAGCGTGAACGACAGCGAAGCGTCCTCTGAGGTAGTCGCTGGTCTAGAGTCTACACAAGAACCTACACTAGCAACAGGCAACTGAGCAAGACTAGCACCTAAGCTAACAACACCAGAGTAAACAGAGTCAGAAACACTAGAGTCAACAACAGCATACATAGCATGAAGAGCACTAATCAGATCAACTAACTGCTCAGCAGACATGCCCCACAGAGCGGAGCCGTAGCGCTGAACCAGAGGAAGCCAGTCAGGAGCAGGACCGCCAACCCCGTAGGCCAACCGGACCGTGTCAGTGAGCTAAGCAAAGCACTGACCAGGGGGGTGAAAGCGGCCACAAGGGTGGCCCCGACGAGGACCTGTCACAACCTGGTAGGGGCAGGGAGGGTAAGCAGTACCGCGCTGGGGCTGACGCAGCCCCGACCCCGGAGCCAGCTGCTGACGCTGCTGCTGCTGAAGGTGCTGCTGCCGTTGAGCCTGGTACCACGCCGCTGCTCCACCTAGCGGGGCCGGCAGTACAGGAGGCGACTGACGAGCTCGGGGGTCGCCGCCACCAGCAGGTGCAGTGGAGTCACCAGCCGCTGCACGAGGGGTCTCTCCAGACGCTGCACTCCCACCACCGCCAGTCGCAACAGCACCCCCACTACCTCCGCTACCTCCGCCTCCACCTCCACCAGAACCACCTTTCTTGCCCCCCCTGCCGCGGGACCGCGACGGAGTCGTAACAGCAGCCGCAGTCGCGTCAGTAGCGGCAGTGGCAAGAGAGGCAGTGAAGGTGGGTAACTGCGGGACTGTGCACCCGTGGAAGAGTGGGGGGTACACAGTACCAGAGGCGGCAGCTACCGAACGAAGGTTGCTCTCGACGTCCTTGAGTGCAGACTCAAGGACCTCGATAGTCAGCTCACTAGGGTGCTTCAGCACAAGCGCGTCACGAACGGAGGCAAGGCGGTCAGGGAGGCTAGTGGCGATGAAATAGACAGTAATCGCCATGGGGGGAGGAAGCAGTGCAAGCTGTGCCTCAGTGCAAGCAGCGCGGTAACTAGCGTCGAGCGAGCGGAGGTGAGCGATCAAGTCAGCAGAGCGCTCAAACAAGGCGAGATCAGGAAACAGGAACGGGAGGAAAAGACGGCCAAGAGAGACAGTAGCGGGAGTAGAGTAGCGGGCCTTAATCGCAGTGAGGTACGCAGCAGCGGTGCGAACCTGAGTAAAGTGGACCTCCTCGGACTCAGGGAGGAGGCTGCTGAGTGCGATGCAGGCCGCAGCGTCACGCGACGTCCAAGCCGTCCGGTCAGCGCGCTGACGGGCAAAGCGAGCCGTAGTAGTGTCGTCAGGGGCAGGGCCTAAAGCTGTAGGCTCGGGGGGCTCGGGGAGGTCACCAGTAGCGTGCGACCAGAGGGTCTCGCCCCCCTGGACCTGACTCTCTAACAGACGGCGAGCGCGAAGAAGCCAGACGGAAAAGTCAAGGGGTCTACCGTCAGCGTCGAAACGAAGAACTCGCGGAGTCGCCATAGTGAGAACTAACGCAAACGAACAGGCGAGTAACAACCGGGAGGAAGAGGACTCAGTCGCAACGGAAGAGCGAGCTAGGGCGACGGGCCAGGGCGTAGGGTAGGGCAACCGGCCAGGGCGTAGGGTAGGGCAACGGGCCAGGGCTTAGGGTAGGGCGACGGGCCAGGGCGTAGGGAAGGGCGACGGGCCAGGGCGGAGGGAAGGGCGACGGGGCAGGGCTTAGGGTAGGGCGACGGGCCAGGGCTTAGAGTAGGGCGACGGGCTAGGGCGTAGGGCAGGGCGACGGGACGGGAGAAAGGGCGGGAGCGACGCGACGGGGCGGGGCGACGCGACGGGGCAGGGCGATGGGACGGGACAGGGCGACGGGACGGGGCAGGGCGACGCGACGGGGCAGGGCGACGCGACGGGACAGGGCGACGGGACGGGGGGGAACGGGCGGGGACGACGCGACGGGGGGAACGGGCGCGACGCGACGGGGGGAAAGGGCGCGACGCGACGGGGGGAAAGGGCGCGACGCGACGGGACAGGGCGACGCGACTGGGGGGGGGGGGGGGGGGAAAGGGCGCTAGGTAACGGGGAGAAAGGGCGCTAAGCGACGGGGGGAAAGGGCGCTAGGCTCGGTACTAGGCGCGGTAACAACGGAACTGGTACGAACGAGAGGTAGGGTCAGGCTCGGGAGGTACGAACGGAGAACGGAGGAACGGGATCCCACAGGATCCTAACCTAGCTGATACCATGTCAGAATGAGGAATGGATGTTCCATTGATGTTGGTTGGGGTACATATAACAAACCCTAACTTCTGTACCCCCTAAGACAAACCTCACTACAGGCTACAACATTTGACAGTAATTATTTTAAAGTTAAACTTCTAGAAATTTGAAGATTGTGATTCGACTAAAAGAGGAGTTTGCTGTAAAGGAGACAAACTCCTTCATTTCGGCAGGTCTCTCAGACTTGCCACCTAGTCTCATTTGCATTTTCAGATCTCCAACTTTGCTTCCCTCCCACCCAATCCCTTTTCTTAGTTACATAGAGTTTATGATATTCCATAGAAGACATTTTGTTATTGCTCATTTGAGTGTGCTGTACAAATGGAATTCGTGATGCTATGACGACTGCACTGCAAGTCGAGCAAGTCGAATAGAGCAAGTTGAACTGAGCTGAACTCTGAGCAAGTCGAGAACTGAGCTGTTCGCGAGTCGAGCAAGTTGTATCTAAGTATAAATCGAGAATCCTGTGAAACTCTGGCTTGCAGCTATAAGTGGCACAACCTACTCGGCGAATAGACTAGTCGAGAAAGCCATGTGAAGCAGCTCTCTTTCAATTTCAGTAACTTGGTAGTCGAGAGGTTTGGGGAGAGACAATCCCCTACTTCTGCGAGATCCGCTGCTTCGACAGTAGAATCCCTCCACACTTCTCGCATCACCCAATTAGAAATCGGGGTTATGTGGAAATAATAATGTAGAATTTGCAAAGAAATGTTCCCCTGAAATCACTTGCTTCCTAAGGTACGGTAAGGCCTCATTAAAGGCAATGCAACAATCCTCACAGAACACTTGCATACATGGAGATTCAAGCATGGGTGCTGTGAGCGGAGCTCATGAAAGGTTTCTTTCATCCTCAACCTCCGTCTCTAGTGCCGCTACTGCCTCTGCTTCCTCTACCTCTGCCTCTGCTAGCGCATCATTGGCCGAAGCACCGGTACCAACACGGCTGCTTGTTTCGCTGACTGCCTCGTCACTCACTCCACTGCCCTCCCCCCTGCCAGTGCCCTCTCCATCACTCCCCGCACCATCCCCATTCCCATTCATCACCCCAACCTCTTGCACCACTTGCACGCCATCACCACGTGTGCCCTCTTTCCCCTCCTTTCCCTCCCCAATCTCTCCTCCCAGCTCACCAGGCCCATCCTCACTGCCAACCCTGCTTGGCACATCTCCTCCCACCACCTCCCTGCTGTCACTGCCTGTTGCCTCTGACACCTCTCTCATGCCTTCATCTGAACCACCTTCCTCCGGCTGATCATCCCTCACACTCAATCTGGCGTCGCTCTGACTGTTCCCACCAGCAGTTTTTTCACCTTCACTACTAACGCTCTCACCAGCATCACTCTTGGCGGAATCACTTAATGAAGCACCGCCACCCTCACCACTACTAGATCCCTCCTTCCCTTCTTCATCTTCAGAGCCGTCTTTGTTCCCTTGTCCAGTCCCCTCATTAACCTCTTCCCCACTTGACCCTTCTGCTCCTCTTGCTCCCACTCCTCCCGCCCCTACCTTCCCCAGCCCCGCACCCTCCAGCCCCTCACTGTCAGCAGCACCGCTCTCACTTCTCCGCCCGTCCCCACCAGCATCCACTGCACCGTCCAGCCCAGCTGCCCTCATGCCACTCACACCATCAACACCACCCTCTCCACCATCAACACCACCCTCTCCACCATCAACACCACCCTCTCCACCATCAACACCACCCTCTCCACCATCACTGCTGCTGCTTCTCCCACCGCCGCCATCGCCGCTGCTGCTGCTCTCCTGCGTGCCGCCCTTGCTCTGCTCCCTGTCCGCCTCCCCATCAGACCCCTGCGCTGCTCCGCCACCCGCCCCCTCGCTTCTTTCTCCCTGCTCCGCCTCCTCTGCCTGGCCCCCATCGCCCGCATTCACATCACTGCCACCCACCCGCTCCCCACCCTCCCCACCCTCCCCGCCCTCGCCGCCTCCCCTGCGCCCAGCGCCCCCCAGGTGCTGCTCCAGGCCTTTCAGCAGCTCGTCTATCTCGTGCTGCTCCTCGCCCCCTGCACCGGACCTCTCCCCCCTTTCTACCCCACCCTCACCACCTTTTAAACCACCCTTGCTGCCTTTCAACCCATTTTCACCGCTCCCTCTGCCTGCAGCACCGCTCTCTACACTGTCAGCTGTGGCTTCCCCATCAGCTGCTCCTGTTCCTTCGCCCAGCCCATCGCCACCCCCAGCCCCCCCACTTCCCTCTCCCCCATCCCTCACTCCCAAATCCTCCCCACCGCCACGCCCCATTCCTATCTCCTCCGCGATATCATCCAAACCTGCTTCTCTTGTCCCACCCACCTTACCCATGCCACTCAAACCACCTCTGTCCGCTCCTCTGCGTTTTCGCCTGACTCGTTTCTCCCTTCCCCGGCCACCCTTGCCCTTCCCCTCTTCCAGTTTGCTCATAATCTCATCCCACACACTCCCCTCCTCACCCTTCCTCCTCACTTCTCCTCTCTCGCTCTCCTCCTCTTCCTCCCCTGAAATTCCCTCCTTATCCTCCGTCTCCTCCTCCTCTTCCTCCTCTTCATCCTCCACCGCCTCTTGCCGTCTCGATCCCCTCCGGCCCCGATTCCCCTTCACCTTCACGCCTCCCCTTCTGCTTCGGCTCTCCATCTCCCCCCATCGCCTCGCCCCACTCCCCGTTCCCGCCCCTACCCCACCCACTCCCTGCATCTCCCCTCGCTCACCTTCCCCCTCCCCTCCGCCCCACTCCCCAAGCCTTGCCTCAATGCCCCCTTTCCCCCATCTTCCGCTACCCTGCTCCGCCACACCCCCCTGTTCCCCGTCCCTTCTTCGTGCGCCCTTCCCGCGAAACCCCGCTTCCATCCCTCTTCCCGCAACCAGCAGCATCGATGGCGGAACTTCCGCCAATCCATCCCTCCCCCCCACCAGCCTCCCCGCCTCCACGTGTCCAGCTCCGATTGGTGCGTATTGGGGGTGCTGCCACGTGTGCGGCTGATGTACCACGACTAGGCGTGACCCTAACAGGAGGAATGCCGCTATAACGAAGCCTAGACACAGGCACGTGCATGGGAGAATGGTGAGGAGAGAGTAGCAGGAGGCGGAGGAGGAGGAGAGCGAGGGGGGAGTGGCGGGGGAGGGCATGCGGGAATAGGAGAAGTGGGAAGGCGTTATGCGGAACGAATCAGAGAACCCTCCAATGCGCGCAGTTGCGCCTCCCCCTGATCCCGCCGCCCGACCTCCGCCACTCCCCCATACAAGCGCGCTGAGGAACGAGCGCCGGGAGGGCGTGGGGAAGGCGGAATGCGGGGGCGCGGAGGCGCGCGGAGCGGACGCGGCGGGGGTTGCGGATGCGACGGGGAGCGACCACTGAAAGCCGCGGCGCTCCCTCGTGCCCTTTCGCATGGCGCTGCGATGCGAGTCGCAATTGGCAACAGTTGGAGAAGAACGGGAATAAAGTCGACAACTGTCGCTCAGTGAACGCGATGCGTCAGCGCTGGGGCCACATCACTCGATGTGGAACTGCCATGGATGCGTGGCTTTGATCTGCTGACGAGTCACAGGTGGGATGCGGTGTGTGAGGGAGGTGTTCTGGTTGGTGACTGGCAGGTGACAGGGCACACGATACGGTGCAATACGATGCAGTACAAATTTGCACAATTACTATCACTATTCTACTAGGTGAGTGTGAGACTTCATACACACCCATGATAAAACAAATACAGAATCATACCGTATTCTAAGAAACATTTAAAATGCTACGGATACTGTTACGAATATTAGATGGTGAAAAAAAAAGGAACTGTGCACTCCTGACAGTAGCAACCGCGTCACACAGTAAAGGGAATGAAGTCGAAGAGGTGGAATGGCCAGAAGAGTCGCGTACGGTTACGAAGCATCAGGACCGTCAGGGCAGACAGCATCAGGCAGCAGCAGTGGCGAGGATTCTGCTGGAACACTCCGTAATCGTCTGGAGTCGCACGGCTGGATTTCGCTGTAATAAGGGAATGTACCCTTTAGAGTACATGGCTAGCTAGGTTGTTTTGTATTCCCCTGTACTCTTATTTGTACGAATGTATTTGCATGTTTTTTATCATCTCAGTAAATTTATATTCACTCTGATCTGAGGTCAAGGGCCCACCACTACCACACACTCTCTGTCTGAATCGTATGTATCGTGTGCCCCTGCTTGCCGTACCACGTCTCCCTTCCTCACTCCTTCTTCACCCCTGTTCTATCAAGCTTCTCAACTCCCTGTTCATCTTCCCCTTGTTTCCAGCCACTCTATATCCTGGTTAGTTACCAGATGCCATTGAATTTATTTTAAGCATAGTGTGAAAACAAACACGCAAGCAAAGGCTCCCACATTGCCTACTTGCTTAAGTATCTACTTATGGTTACCGTTGCTCCAACGGTGCTCTTTCGCCCACTGTTTCCCATTTTTTACTTGTTCACTCTAATAATGAACGAGAATGAATGCACTATGAAAGAGTTGGGTACAAGTACTAACCCTAATTGGGTTGTACCCCATATGGGCTACCCCACTACAGTCTACACAAAAGCATAAGCTATAATGTTCCGACACACCCCCATAGGCAAAGTGGGGGAGTACAAGGGGTCACAAGACAAGTCAAGCAAAGTAAAGCAAAGCAAGCTCAGGGTGGATCACAAAGTCACCACACATTCCGAGCACAAGGTCAAGGCCACAAGGCCAGTTCACATGCAGGAGTACATATATATATATAAAAGGCTAGACAAGCAAGAGCAGGTGTATATATATATGTAACAGTACAAACAAGGTCAAGAGGTGAGCAAGTGAGGCAAGGCAGGCACAAGGCCCAGCTGAGTACTGAAGCGCTGATGATCACAAGGCGCAAGCGCCTTGGTGAAGATATCAGCAGTGTTCGCCTCAGAGGCCACGTACGCAAGACGTAGTTGACCACGCTGCTGCAGCTCACGAGCAAGAAAGTAGCGGAGAGCAATGTGCTTCGTTTCTCAGGTTCCTAACCCTCAGTCTAACCTTGCTCATGTTGCCAGTCCAACTGTTTCTCGGTTTCTTGCCACGTGTGTGACAGACCCTTCGTTTTCGTCTCCTACTGCGATTGCCTTAGTAGCTGAGCGTGTTGACTTTGCTGCTATGTGCCGTCTTGAATATGCTGCGCGTCTTGTCTTTGACTCTGACTGTCTTCCGTCCGTTGAGGGTGAGAATGCCCTTACCTATGACGTTCTTGAGGACAAGCAGCTTGAGCTTGAGCACCTAGTAGTTGCTGCACCTCATCCCTCTGCATGCTGCTTTGCCCTAAGGAAGACCCGGATGCACCAGACATCCCCACCCCATGCACTTACGAAGAGGCGATCTCGGGTGAGTACTCCTCTCAGTGGCAGACAGTTATGGACGCAGAGATGGACACTCGCTCCCAGCTCCACCTTCGGACGAGTCTGTAGAGCCAAGTGGTCCGTATCCAGAGCTTGTGGGTTGCCTCATGTACCTGATGACGTGCACACGACCTGACCTTGCGTACCCTCTCAGCCTCCTGGCTCGCTACGTGGCTCCTTGTAGACACGGGAAGGTGCACTAGGAAGCTGCTAAGAGGGTACTGCGTTACTTGTGCGGTACATCATGCATGGGGCTTTTTCTTGGAGGACAGGACTCAGTGGTACTCACATGTCACTCAGACGCTTCTTGGGCCGACGACCAGGTGACTCAGTGGTCGTCACAGGGTTACACCTTTCAGTCTCACCTCTGATCCTGTCTTGTGGAGGTCCACTCGCTCGTCTTCTGTGCTTGGTTCCAGCTGTGTGACCAAGATCTACGCTGCTGCTTTGGCTGCACAGGAGCTACGCTGGCTGACCTACCTGGTGACCGACTTGGGTAAGCGGCTTCGTTCTCCTCTAGTTCTGTACATCAACAACAAGGCCATGCTTGCCTTGTGTCACGAGCAGAGACTGGAGCACAGAACGAAGCACATTGCTCTTTGCTACTTTCTTGCTAGAGAGTTGCAGTAGCGTGGTCAGCTTCGCCTTTCCTACGTGGCCTCTCAGGCCAACACTACTGATGTCTTCACCAAGGCCCTTGGGTCTGGTGATCATCAGCGTTTTTGCGCTGCTCTTGGGCTTCTGCCCACTTTGTCTCACCTGCTTGTCTCTTGATCTTGCCTTGCACTTGTTGTACACTGATGTATGTATGTATACCTGCATGTTTACTCTTGCTAGGTTGTGATCAATGTACTGCCTTGCTATTGTAACTCTGCATGTGTAGTGGTTTTGTGGACCCTTGTCTGTGCTCAAACTGCATGGTAATCTTGAGATCCACCCTGAGCTTTTCTTCGTTTTGTTCTCTTTCTAGACTGGTCTTGTGACCGTCCGTTATGTTTGCTATCCCCCAATTTGCCTATGGGGGTGTGTCCAATTGTGTGTTTATGTTTTATAGGCTGTTGTGGGGCTAGCCTTAGAGGGGATACAAACAAAGGGTTTCATACTTGTATCCCCATCCTTTCTAGTCCATCTCATTCTTGCACAGTTAAATCTCAACACCTCGCTCTATTGCAAGTCTAAGATGTGCAGCTTTCATATAGCCATCTACGGAGGGGGTAAAAATACATGTATGTGGGTAAAAACTGATTGAGTTGGCGATTTGTTTGCAACTTCGTGGGTTTTAGACATTGTAGAAAACGTGTAGCCTGTTGGCTGTACGAAATCTGATGTTATATGAACTTGTTTTTGAAGTACAGGAGGTAATCAATAGGCTAGAGGAAAGCTTGGATCCCCCACATCATTTTCACCCACTCACGAATCTCCACGCGGCCGTGATTTCATCTACCAATGAGGAGCTTTGTACATGTGTCTACAAGTGGGTATTGAGGGCTGGCTGGCTCTGGTGGGGGGTATTTGGGCAGATGTGGTATGTCGCTGATTATGGCGGTGGTCCGAGAAGGGGGGAAGGTCGTTATTGTTCCAAGCAATCCATGTGCGACCCTCTCGTGATGGCGACTCCAACCACGATCACTGCTTCGACCACTACGTGCACTTCCTTGAATCCGCACTGCATGCCGTCCACCATACCACGCTCGACAAATGTTCGTGCCCACTTGCCTGTATTTATGGAACTTGGTGGAGCATGGGGAGAACTCCATTCTAAATGGGCGAGTTGTGTGACGGTGTAATGATTGTCACAAGGTATGAAACGAGAATGGCTAGAAAACAGGGCAGTACAAGGTTTGTATAGGCAAAACCTAACAATAATGTACCCCATAAGGAGTGCCCCACTACAGCCTACAATATAGTTCTAACACACCCCCATAGGCAAAGTGGGGGACAAGCAAGAGAACAAGGTAAGGTCAAGCTCAAGGTGGATCACAACGTCACCACGCATTCTGAGCACAAGTACAAGGCCACAAGGCTGTTGTTAAGATCCGTCACTTGAGAGCTTACGACGAACTCATTACTCAACTAAACGCAAATCCGCTCAGTAGGATTGTGCGCCTTAGACTTAGCTACCATCTCCAAGTTGAATCAGTCGTTAAAATGGTCTAGAGAATGAGAACCAAGTAAAAACGTCCAGCAGCCACATGACTAGACTGGTAGAGGAAGTACAAGCATTAGAGCATAGCAAGTTGGAGTCGGGGACCTCCAAGAGAACCATGAGAGCGAAGGGGTTCTCCAAGAGCTAGGGAAGGATGGTACGAACCTTCCTAGCAGCAAGGATGCAACCCTCATCATGAGGTCCTTGAGGTGTCACATGCAAAATCCAATCTAGTTGGATTTTGCCTAGGTGTTGCAACATTTGCAACCCATGCTAGAAACTTCTAGCCACCCCAATCCAAAAGTCAAAGTTGCCTTCCTTAACCACCCAACCAAAGATCCCTTGATAGTCATGTCCCAAGTAATCACCCCAATTAGATATAGCCCCAAAAGGTAATAGGAAATCCAAGTCTTGGAAATCTTGTAACTTGGGCGATCTTGGTCGGAATAAGGTGATCTTGGTATCGTTGGAAAGCTCTGGATTTCTCCTGCATGATCAAGCATTTAAACTTGGAGAAAAAACACAAAGATGAAAATATCCAACAGCCATGCACAATGACATATGCTCATGCAAACAATGCACGCATGAATAGCACGAGCAATCGGCAGAACGTTAGGAAGACGTGCACTCAGAATGACGTGCATCCAAAAAAGGCCAGTTCACATGCAGGATTATAAATCAAGGTGAACATGCAAGACAATGGTCTCAACTTAGCAAGGGTAAGCATGCAGGTGCAGGTATATATAGATCACAATACAAGCAAAGTCAAGAGGCTAGCAAGTGAGGCCAGGTAGGCACAAGACCTAACATAGTACAAAAACGCTGATGATCACAAGGCTGAAGTGCCTTGGTAAAGATATCAGCAGTGTTGGCCCGAGTGGACACGTAAGCAAGGCAAAGCTGACCCCGCTGCTGCAACTCTCGAGCAAGGAAGTAGCGCGAGCAACATGCTTCGTTCTGTGCTCCAGTCTGTGCTCCTAACACAAGGCCAGCATGGCCTTGTTGTCGACGTACAGAACTGGAGGAGAACGAGGCGCCTCTCCCAAGTCGGTCAGCAGGTAGGTAAGCCAGCGTAACTCCTGTGCAACCATGGCCCAAGCGTAGATCTCAGCCTCACAACTGGAGCTGAAAACAGAAGACGAGCGGGTAGACCACCACGAAACAGAGCCGGAACCAAGGCTGAAGGTGTAACCCCGTGACGACCGCTGCGTAGCCAAGTTGTCGACCCAAGAAGCGTCTGCGTGACCAGTGAGGACAAGTCGAGCCCGTCCTCCAAGCACGAGCCCCATACCCAACGTACTGCACAGGTAGCGCAACACCCTCTTAGCTGCATCCATGTGCTCTGGTCGGTGTCTCCCAGGAGCTACATAGCGTGCCAAGATGCTAAGAGGGTATGACAGATCAGGTCGAGTGCAGGTCATCAAGAACATGAGGCAGCCAACAAACTCTAAGTACGGGCCACTCGGCTCTACAGACTCATCCGAAGGCAGAGCTGAGAGCGAGTGGCGAGTAGACAGAAGAGTGGCCTGAGGCGAGGAGTACATGAAGTTGAAGCGCTGACGGACCTGCTGCACCACGTGTGAGTGAGTCAAGGTAATGGTGCGCCGTGCTCTATACTGGGTGATCTGCAAGCCAAGATAGCTGCGCAGCTCACCTAGGTCTGTACACGTGTGTCTCTTCTGCAGCTCTGACTTCACGTGGGCGAGTCCCTCAGTGTCAGCAGCGGTGAAGACCAAGTTGTTGACGTGCACCAGGATGTAGAACCGCAGCAGCGAAGTGTTGGTGCGTAGAAACAGCGACAGGTCAGCAGTAGAAGGAGCAAACCCAAGAGCCGCAAGCATAGTCCATCAGTGTGTCGTGCCACTCACGGGGCGACTGGCGGAGACCGTAGACTGGCCGCCGGAGGCTCCACTAGGTACCAGGAGGAAACGACCCAGTGAAGTTAGGTGGGCGGCGCAGCTAGATCTCCTCGTGCAAGCTGCCCTGTATGAAGGCTATGCTGAAGTCAAGAGAGTGAAGCTCGTAGTCACGCTGAGCGGCAAATACAGCAGCACCCGAAGAGTGGTCATCTTCGGGGTGGGAGAGAAGGTCTGAAAGTAGTCAACTTCCTGCCGCTGACTGAAGCCTCGAGCCACGTAACGCGCTTTGAAGACATGCGGAGAACCCGGCGGCCGCTTCACCCTGAAAATCCACATGCCATCGGCAATGCTCGCCCTAGGAGGGGGAACCTCGTCGATGTAAGTGCCTATGGACTTCCAGGAAGCCATCTCTGCGTCCATGGCTGTCTTCCACTAAGAGGAGTAGGGACCCTCTATCGCCTCTGTGTAAGAGCGCGGGGTCGGGATGTCTGGTGCATCCGGGTCTCCCTCAAGTGCAAGTAGCATGGACACGAGATGAGGTAAAGCAGCAGCAAAGCACTGGAACTCCTCCTGCCTGTCCTCAAAGACATCCGTGCTGAGGGCACACTCACCCCCGACGGACGGAGGATAGATAGACTCAGAATCAGCAACAAGACTAGCAGCGTAGTCTAGACGGCAACGAGCATCAAAGTCGACAAGCTCAGAAACAAGAGCAGACGCAGCAGTAGACTCAAAGAAAGGGTCAGTAACAACAGTGGCGAGGAGACGCGTGTTAGTAGGACTAGTAGCACGAAGGGAGTCAGACTGCGGGTCCGAGCGGACATGAAGGGAGGACGCAGAATGAGACGGCAGAGGGCTACGCTGCGGAGCAGTGGAAGGACGTAGTGCTATCTGGTGCGTGCCTGGGACAAGAGGAGGACGTTGACGCGAACCACGATGACTATTGGAAGCAGCACAAACAGGCAACGCAAGTCAAGACACAGGCTCACGATGCTTAGCAAAACCTCCGGTCGGACCAGTGTAAGGAGAATGAGCAAGCAGTGGGGAGGCGGGCTGTAGCTGTAACTGTGACTGCGACTGCGGCTGGATAGGCAATAGAGTCTTTAAGGAAGGAGCGGGACCAGTAGAAGGCGAGAGACCAAGAACCTGCTCAAGGAGCGGAACGAAGTACGGCCGCGGCTGCGCAGCGCCTCCAAAACCAGCAGGGGCAGGGACAGCACCCCCAGCGTCAGCTCCAACTCCTACAGCACCACCAGTTCTAGCAGCACCTCCAGGTCTAGCAGCACCTCCAGCAGCTCCAGTAGTGCCAAATCCAGCACCCCTAGGAGCACCGGCTCCAGCAGCACCTCCAGCTTCAGCACTTCCAACAGCTCCAGCTCCAATAGCACCACCAGGCCCAGTAGCTCCAGTACCTCCATTACGAGCACCTCCGGTACTAGTGGCTCCAAGACCCCTAGCAGCTCCACCAGCAGGAGGACCTCCAGCGCCCGTAGCACCACCAGCTCTAGCAGCATGGCTCTAGTGCCGAGCAAACCACTCGCGCAGCTGCTATGGAGAGAGCGGCTCCCGCCGGGACGAACCACCCGAAGGACCTCCAGGCTCAACACCTCCAGACTCCACACGCGCAGGATCAACACCCTCGGGCTCCGCACCCCCAGACTCAGCAACCCCAGGCTCAGCACCCCCAGGCTCAGCACCCCCAGGCTCCGCACGCTCAAGCTCAGCACCCCTAGATCCGGCACCCGCAGGATCGGCACCCCTAGCCGCACCAGAGTCAACACCTACCTTGACAGGGTCTACCTAGGACACATCTGAGGGGGCAGGATCCTGAGGGGGAAGGGGGTCTAACGGAGGAGGACTTGGTGCGAGGAAGAGCGGCGGGGGGGGAAGGGGGGGCAGTGCGGTAGGGGAAGAGATGGTAGTAAGGAACCGACTCGTCAAACATGACGTCCAGATAGGACAGAACACGGCGCGAGGTGGGGTGGTAAAACTGCCAACCAGGCGCGTCAGGGGGGAAGCCAAGGAAGACGCAGGGAACAGCACGGGAGGACAGCTTGTCCGCAGACAAGTCACGGACGAAAGCTCGAGATCCCCAGACACGGAACGCAGACACATCGCCAACCTTCCCCGTCCACCGTAGCGTAGGTGTGGTCTCCGGCATGGAGACCCGGGGCTGAAGGTTGAGCTGATGGCAGCGTACTGAACCGCGAACGGCCACAGAAAATGGGGAGCAGCCGCATGGATCATAGACGTACGAGCGACGTCCATGACCATGCCAATGCGGCACTCAGCAACCCCATTTTGCTGTGGAGAGGTCGGAAGCGTGAACATCTGGCGGATGCCCTTCGCACATCAGTAGGCTCGTAGAAGGTCGGAGGAGATCTCTCCACCTCTGTCGGAGTGCAGATGCAGAACAGGAAGGTTCGAGCCGAAACTCTCGCTGAGCTGAGGACGGGCAGCGCGGATCCAGTCGATCAGCACCTCAGTGACCTCACCCTTGCGGCGCAAGGGGAAGACTGTGGTGTAATGCGAGTAGTCGTCAACGACCAGCAGAAAGTTGCTTTCGTGACCCTGTCCACGGACGCGCGTTGGGCCCCACACGTCCATGTGAAGAGTCTGCAGGGGAGCCTTCGTCAGAGCTAACTCGGAGGAGTGAGGAGCGGCGCGCTGCCGCCCCTCGATGCAAGGAACGCAGGTAGGGGCAGGCCCCGGGGGAAGGGGAGGGAGAGACCGAGGAAGACCAGTGACAAGGACATGGGAGGCCATGCCTCGAAGACGAGGCATGGAGGGGTGACCAAGGCGGTGGTGCCAGAGAAGAGTCTGGTGAGACAGGAGGCGACACAAGCAGGGGGAAGACTCAGGACCAGATGGGGACGCTGCAGCAAACACCTGACTCGACGCAGCTACCTGACCAGACGCAAAAAGGGGAGGTGACCCGGTAGTCAGGGTGTACAAGCTCGACCCAGGCTGATGGGAGAACGTGGCCAGGTGCCGGCCCGTCCGAGTGCACGAACAGTGGGTCACCCACTGACCTCCAGGAGTGAACTGGTCAACCCAGGCGTCCTGAAGGTCAGCTCCACTCACCAAGTTCGTGGAGAACGAGGGGAGGTGGAGGCCAGACAGAGAGCCAGACGGGACCGCCAGACACAGCAGAACCGTGGAGGAGTTTGCAAGGACCGGACCCCCAGAGGGGTCAGCCAGGGAGACTGCCACTAGTCGACTAAGCAGCGAGAGTGTGGTGCAGTCGCGAAAGAAGGAGCGGGAAGCACCCGAGTCAAGGGTGAACGTGTGCAAGGCCTGAGCTGACGCGGTACCTGAGAGAGCAGACTCACCAGCACCTGGAGCAGCACACTCACTAGCACCTAGAGCAGCAGCCTCAATGCCCGGGTCGGGCGGAACACACACGTAACAATCACCCTCAGCACTAATAGTCACAGCATACATAGCAGCAAGGATAGCATCATAATCAAGATCAAAGATAGCAACACCTGACTTAAGCAGATCACCACAGCGAGGGAGCTCAGTGGCGTCTGGAAACTGTGTACGCTAGGCGTTCGTCAGGCGGCCAAAACAGTGGTGCGTGGCGTGCGGTCCTCCGCACGTCTCCCCACTGCGCTCGCCGGTGCGGATATCGTAAGCACAAGGACCAGCATCCCTGGACCTCCCACACCCAGCGTACCACTCACGAAGCTGCAGGGGCGACAGGGTCTCACAAGAACGCTGCTGCTGCTGGCGCTGGCCACCACCAGGACCTCCCCGCTGCACAGCGCCACCCAGACCAGCACCACTACCGCCACCACCCTCACCGCCGCTGCCACTTCCTCCGCCCCCACTGCCGCTGCCGCCACCGCCTCCACCTCCACCGCCGCCGCTGAAGCCCCCACTCCCGCCACCACCCCACCTCTATCCCCACCTCCACCTCCACCGCCACCACCGCCGCCCTCGCCGTCTCCTCCAGCACCCTTGCCCCCCTTGCTCCTGCCACTGCGGCGCCTCCGACTAGGAGCAGACGCAGCGCTGACCGACTCGGTGCCAACGAGGTCGACAGCAGTAGCAGAAGCAACAGAGGGCAAAAGGGGGACGGGGGAGCATCTTTCACAGAAAGGGGCACGAGGGTCTCCACGAGAGGCTCCTACAGCGACTATACTCTTCTCGGGTGCATGGAGGCGCTCCTCGAGTAGGTCAGAGGTGAGTGTGGTGGGGCAAAGGGAGAGGAAGTGGTCCCTGACCGAGCGAAGGGAGTCAGGGAGCCGGGTGACGAGGCAGTAGAGGGTGATGTACATAGGGTGGGGGTTCTTGGCGCAGAACTCGGCAGGAAGCGCAGCGCGGTAGCGGGTGTCACTAGTGCGGAGGTGTGTAATTAGGTCAGCGACAGTGGCAAAAGCGGCTAGGTCAGAGAACAGGTACTGCAGCATGAGGCGGCTAAGGGCAGCAGCGGCAGGGGAGGAGTAGGGCGCAGCAACAGCGTCGTACAGAGTCTTAGCAGTCTTGTACTGGCTAAAGTGCGCGCGCTCAACAGACGGCATGTGACTACGAACAGCAAGACGAGCAGCAGCATCGCGCATGGTCCACTGCGAGCGGAGTGCACTGTCAGCATCGGCAGCATGTGCAACTCAGACGCCGGACGTGTGATTGAACAGTGAGACTCCGTCCCTAGAGTCACACTGCAGGAAAAGCTGCAGATCATCGACCCAGACCTTGAAATCGGCTGCTCGACCCTCAGCATCGAAGGTAAGGACATTAGGGCTAGCCATGACAGCAGGAGCAGCAGCAGTAGCCTAGTAGCAGCAGTAGTAGTAGCAGCGAGGCTCGGCAGGGCGGCGCGACTCGGCAGGGCAGCGCGGCTCAGCAGGGCAGCGCGGCTCGGCAGGGCGGCAAGGCTCGACAGGGCGGCGCGGGTGCGGAGGTGCGCTTACCAGTGGCGGGAGGGGAGGGTAGAGGACGCGACTGGTGGGGCAGCGCAGTGGCGCGCCGGCAGGGTAGGGGCCGCGACAAGGTGGCATGGCAGGGCCGCGACTCGGCGGCAGATCAGGGCCGCGTCAGGGCAGCAGGGCAGGTCCGCGACGGCCGGGCCTCAGCGGCGACGACAGCGGCGGTCGCTGTTAAGGTTAAGCTAGAGGAGGCCATGGCTTCCTTGAGAGAATTAGCGAGAGAAGAAAAAATTGCATTAGGAAGGAAGCGTCGAGATACAAGTCTAGAAAGGAATTGGAAACCCTAATTGAACTTAGGGTGTGTTCAGTGTATGCTATAGCTACGAAATGAACCTAAATTGAACCTGGAAGCGTATCTCGCTCTAAGCATGGTGGAATGACAAGAGAACACCCAAATAAAGGCCAGAGCGAGCTCTAGCCTACTCCAACACACCCCCAAGCTAGGTAAAGCTCTGGAGCAAAACACCTAGCGAATAGGCACACCCCCAGAAGTGGAAAGACGAGTGAGCCCAAGCTCGCGCACATAGAAACGGTGTGGCGCACGCAGGAGGGCTTTGGTGAATATGACAGCAAGGTTGGCAGTAGCAGCCACCTTGTGGAGACGTAAGAAGCTAGACTGCACTAGCTCGCGTACAAAGAAGTAGCGGACCTCAATGTGTTTGCTGCGGGCGTGATAGACAGGATTTTCAGTGAGATGAATCATGCTCGCACTGTCACAAGAGAGCGTCACAGAGGACTGAGAGTGACCAAGCTCAGCAAGGAGAAAGGAGAGCAGCGAGCCTCCTGAGCTGCCAATGTGCCTGCGTACAACTCAGCCTCGCAAGTGGAAAGGCAGACAGAGGATGAGCGAGTGGAGCGCCAGCTGATGGGACCGCTGCCAAGAGTAAAACCATAACCCTGAGAGGAGCGGCGATCAGGGCGAGAATCAGTGTAGGAGGAATCACTGTAACCGGAAAGAACAGGGGGAGAAGAACCACCAAGAATGAGGGCAAGATCAGAGGTAGCACGGAGATAGCGGAGAACGCGCTTAGCAATCGCCCAGTGTACGTCAGTGTGGCGACCAAGGCCAAGAAAGCGAGAGAGGAAACTGAGGGGGTAAGCAAGATCGGGGCGAGTGCACATCATGGCATACATGAGTGACCCAACGAGTTCAGGATAGGGTCGTAGTTCTGAGGAGGGAGCGGGAACGGCAGGGGCAGTAAGCTGATGGTTAGCGGGAAGAGGAGTGGAAACTAGCTTGGCCTGCGACATTTCAAGGATGGAGTGAATGTAGAAAGATTGAGAGAGAGAGATAGTGCGCGCAGTACGATCGCGACGAATCTCCATGCCGAGGTAGTGGCGAAGCTTGCCAAGATCCTTGCACAGGAGACGCGCCTGGAGGGCCTGCTTGACAATGGCAAGGTCGGCAGAATCTTCAGCGAGGAGCACCAAGTCATCGAAGTAAGCAAGTATGTAAAGCCTGCGGGGGGAAGTGCGGATGAAGAGACTGAAGTCGAAAGAGGAGGTGAAGAAGCCAAGAGAGTGAAGGGTGGAGGCTAGCTTAGCATGCCACTCACGTGGGGCCTGCTTAAGACCATACACTGGGCGCTTCAGCTCCCAGACAATGCCTGGAGGGAAAGGGCGAGGGAAGCCAGCGGGGCGCTCAATGAATATGCGCTCATGCAGCTCGCCCTGGAGGAAAGCATTGGAGACGTCCATGGAATGGATCTCCCAATTCCAGCGAGCACCTAAGTCAAGAAAGAGGCGAAGAGTGGGGAGACGGGCAGTGGGGGAGTAAGTGGCAAAGTATTCAATGCCTTCACGTTGGGTGAAGCCTTTGGCACAGTAACAGGCTTTGAAGACAAGGAGCTCCCCAGGCAGCTGTTTGACACGAAAGACCCATTTGCCCTTCATAATGGTGGCGCCAGGGGGGGGGACAGAGTCAACGTAAGAGTCCTGGTGAATGCCTCACACTCGGCAATCCACACAGTAGCATGAAAGCCAGACACTACATCGGAATAGGTCTGAGGGGTGGGAATAGCGGCAGTGTCAACGGAGAGAAGAGTGGGAGAATTGGAGAAATCGCCAATGGTGACACTGAGGAAGGGTGAAACAGGATGAACAGAGAAAAGCTCCTGAAAGCGATCTTCGAGAAGATCAACGTTCGGAGAGGGAGAGAGACGAGTAAAGACAGCAGAGTGCTGAAAATTGGACATTGCACGGGTCATGGAGCGAGTGATACGTGGAGAGGGTGGGGGGGCAGGAGCAGAAGGGAGGGTAGCAGAAGGAGGGGATGAGGGAGGGGCCATGAGAGTAAAAGATGAAGAGGCAGGAGGAGAGATGCCAGAGATGACAACGGAGGGGGGAGTGGAGGAGGCAGGCAGGGGGGGTGGAGCAGGGGCAGGAGGAAGGGGAGGAGGAGAGGGAACAGCAGAGGGCAGCGGATCAAAGTCAGACCAGTCGAGAGAGGGAGCAGGTGGGGTGGGAGGGGGAGTGAGGAATGGAGATCGAGTCTCATCAAAGATGACATCCTAGCTGCGAATGAGCTGCTGAGAGGAGGGAGCATAGACGGCGGCTTCACGAAAGACAGAGTCAGTAGCAGCACTGTCAAGGACAAAATCCAAGGTGCGAGGAAGTCAGAGAGTGGCATCTGTAGGGCTAGGAGAGTGAGAAGCAGTGTTTTGAAGAGGTGGACGAAATGGAACGACAAAACGAGGGTCCATAAGAGGAGAATCACCAAGGATGCTATCCTGAGATGGCATGGTCACACTGAAAATAGAGGCCGGAGAACCAATACCAGAGGTTACAGCGGCACGAACGTCCAGGGCAGAAAGGCGGGGACGCCGATGGGACAGTGGAACCCAAGCAGAGGGGTGGAGAGGGAGGGGAGTCCAGCGGCAAGCTGGAGAGGTGGTGAAAGGGGAGGAAGGGGCAGCGAGGGAAGCGGAGGGTAGGGAAGGCAAGGGTAGGAGAGGAGGTAGGGTGGAATGAGTGTGCGGGCTGAAGTGCAGAGGAAGAGAGGTAAGAGCGAGAATAAGTGCAATCAGGGCGAGGGGATAGCAATGGAGCAGATGTGGGGAGACAGAAGAGGAGGAGGATTAGGGGCGAGGTAGCAGCTGTTGAGCTGTTGAGGGGAGAAATAAGAGGAGGAGGGCCAACAGCGGAGTAGTCTGCTGCTGAGCCGTTGAGGGAAAATTAAAAGGAGGAGGGATAGCAGCGGAGTAGTCTGCTGCTGCGCCGTTGAGGGGAGAAATAAGAGGAGGAGGGATAGCGGCGGAGTAGTCTGCTGCTGCGCCGCTGAGGGGAGAAATAAGAGGAGGAGGGATAGCGGCAGAGTAGTATGCTGCTGCGCCGCTGAGAGGAGAAATAAGAGGAGGAGGGATAGCGGCGGAGTAGTCTGCTGCTGCGCCGCTGAGGGGAGAAATAAGAGGAGGAGGGATAGCGGCGGAGTAGACTGCTGCCAAGCAGCTGAGGGGAGAATCTAGAGGAGGAGGAAAAGAGTGGTGAAGGAGCACGACGACGAAGCAAGGCCGGTAACCAGCTGCAGCAGTTGGGGAGAGGAGAGAGGCGGAGGAGATAGGGAGATGAGGAGGGGATGAAGGTAGAGAGAAAAGGAGGAGGAGGGTGTGTCAGAATCCCAACCACTAGACCATTGGGATAAAAGGGCTTGTTAAGTAGCGGGTCAGTGCGCCCATCACCCCCCAGGACAACGAGCCTGTAACCCTTCCCTAGGATCAATCAGGTATCCACAGTGCAGATCTACTGACACCCCCCCACACTGGGAGGCCCAGGACTAAGCACAGCGGCAACGGCCTACATGTGCATACACCGAGAATCGAACCCGAGACCGCTCTGATACCATGTCAGAATCCCAACCACTAGACCATTGGGATAAAAGGGCTTGTTAAGTAGCGGGTCAGTGCGCCCATAACCCCCCAGGACAACGAGCCTGTAACCCTTCCCTAGGATCAATCGGGTATCCACAGTGCAGATCTACTGACAGGGTGAAGAGGCGGATGATGTGGAGGGGTGGGTCTCGATGAGCAGGGCCACGAAGCAAAGCCGGCAACCAGCGGAAGCAGTAGAGGACAGGTGAGGGGCGGAGGAGAGAGAGAGAGAGATGGGGAAGGGAATTAAGGGAGAGAGGAGAGCAGGAGGAGGGTGAAGGGGCGGATGGTGCAGCTACCACACGAAATCAGCAACCAGCTGCTGCAGCCGAGGTGAGGGAAGAGGCGGGGGAAAGAAGACGGTCGTAGAGGGAATAAAGGGAGAGAGGAGCGGAGGCGGAAGGGCAGGGCGCGGTTGACGGCGGAAATATGGGGCGAGCGGAAATGAGAGGCGCGCGAAAGCGACACAGCCCACGCGCGACGAGGTGAGAGGAGGGGCGCTTAGGTGAGGGGCGAAAGGCGAGCGAAAGAGGGAAGGAGGGGGGGGGGGGGGGGGGGGGGGGGGGCGCGACGGTAGTGCAGGCCGCGCGCGACGGTTGGGCAGGCCGCGCGAGACAGAAAAAATAAGGGAAGGGGGCAAATCGCGCGTGACGAGCGCAGCAGTTCTAGGTGCGCGCGACGAGAGGATAGGGTCGGGCATCGACTAGCTAGAAACAGTAACGCGGAATAGGGCCTAAGAGTTCCTAAGAGATGTAGATGATGAGGAAACGCCTAGGATTTCGCTCTGGATACCATGTTAAAGTTAAGCTAGAGGAGGCCATTGCTTCCTTGAGAGAATTAGTGAGAGAAGAAAAAATTGCATTAGGAAGGAAGCGTCGAGATACAAGTCTAGAAAGGAATTGGAAACCCTAATTGAGCTTAAGGTGTGTTCAGTGTATGTTATAGCTACGAAATGAACCTAAATTGAACCTGTAAGTGTATCTCGCTCTAAGCATGGTGGAATGATAAGAGAACACCCAAATAAAGGCCAGAGCGAGCTCTAGCCTACTCCAACAGTGGCACCGGCGGCTGCAGGCTCGACGGCGGCAGCAGGGCCGCTATGGCAGCAGCAGGGGCGACGGCTGCTGCATGCCACGGGGCCTCGGCGGCTGCTGTAGGGTAAGGGGCCGCGACGTGGGGCGGCAGGTCAGGGGCCGCGACGGCGGCTGCAGGTCAGGGGTCCGCGACGTAGGGCGGTGGGGCAGGGCAGGGCAGCGACGGCCGCGAGAAAGGGCGGCAGGGCAAGGCCGCGACGGCCGGCAAAGCAGGGCCGCGACGGGCGGCAGGGTAGGTAGGGCCGCGACGACGGGGCGAGTCGGCCGCTAAGGGCGGCGTCAGCAGGGCGGGCCGCTAAGGGCGGCGACTGCAGAGGCGGGCCGCTAAGGGCGGCGAGATCGGGCCTCGACGAGCCGTAGGTGAAGGGCGCGACGGGCCGCAAAGGGCAGGGCCGCTACGGGCGGCACTAGGGGGAGGCAGGTGCGACGCGCGCTTCGGGCAGGGCAGTAAAAAAAAAATAACACGGTGGGCCCGAAAAAAAAAACGTTCCCACTAGGGAACCTGCTCTGAAACCATGTCACAAGGTATGAAACGAGAATGGCTAGAAAACAGGGCAGTACAAGGTTTGTATACGCAAAACCTAACAATACTGTACCCCATAAGGAGTGCCCCACAACAGCCTATAAAATAGTTCTTGACAGAATCAAGAAGAGTAGGGCCTAGGCTAAGTAGCCTAGGCCACACGAGTACTAGGAGGTTGTGCCCTAGGGCTAGCGAGAATGTTGACAGAACATAAATGAATGAAGAAAAGATGATTGTACTAGCAGGCAGGTTGGTACAAATAGGAAACCCTAAAGGGTTTTACTCACTATTGAGTACCCTACTGCAGGATAGACAAAGAACATATTCTGACACACCCCCATAGTCAAAGTGGGGTATAATCAGCACAGCAAGAAGTCCTAGAATAAGTCACAAGCACAACCAGAGCTAGAGGCAGTCACAGAGGGCAAGTGAGGAGGAGGAGGGACTGTGAGAGGAGTGGAGATAGGAGGCGACCGGTGAAGCCGCAGTCACATGGGCAACAGGAGCGGCGCGCACAGTGGCTACCGAGCGCACGAGGGCACCGGACTACGGGAGTATCTGGCTCCGCGGCTACGATGAGCGGCAGGAGCAACGGACCCACAGGCGTCTGGCAAGCAGGCTCGCTGGGCTACCGAGAGCACGAGGGCTTTGGACTACTGGCGCTGCTGACGACACGACGGCGACCTCCGCTCAACCTCCCCTAACAGTCCCACACCCCCTTCTCACACACCCACTGCTGCACCCCTAGCTCCACTACCATGGCACCCCCCTAGTGCCACTCCCCTCGGCTCCCACACATCCACCCCCCTCAGGGGCAGCTGCAGCAGTGGGAGACGGACGAGGAGAAGGAAGGGATGACGCACACATATCACCCTCACACCCGCCACCCCCACACCCTCCTGTCTAGGGGACCGGGGGGGAGGGTGGGGCAGGACAGAGCGCGCAAGGGCGCGGGTAGAGCAGAGCGCACGAGAGCACGGGTAGCAGCAGAGCGCACGAGGGCGCGGGCAGAGCGGAGCGCACGAGGGCACAGGCAGAGTAGAGCGCACGAGGGCGCGGGTGAGATAGGGTGGCTGCACAGGGTCCATGAGCGGCGTCGCGGGCAGCTGCAGGGCCGGCTGCTGCAGGGGCGGCTGTTCCAGGGGCCAGAGGCGGCTGCTGCAAGGGCGGCTGCTCCAGGGGCCAGGGGCGGCTGCTCCAAGGGCGGCTACTCCAGGGGCCAGGGGCGGCTGGTGCAGTGGCGGCTGCTCCAGGGGCCAGGGGAGGCTGCTGCAGGGGCGACTGCTCCAGGGGCCAGGGGCGGCTGTTGCACGAGCAGGGACGGCGCCCAGGGGCGCCGCGAGGAGCAGGGGCGACGCCCCAGAGGCGCCGCGACGAGCAGGGGCGGTGTCAAGGGGGCGCCGCGACGAGCAGGGGCGACGCCACACGGGTCCCGCAGGGGCGTCGGGATGAGCAGGGACGGCGCCCAGGGGCGACGCCACGCGGGTCCCGCAGGGGCGTCGCGACGAGCAGGGCGACGCCGCGCGGGTCCCACAGGGGCGTCGCGACGAGCAGGGCGACGCCGCGCGGGTCCCGCAGGGGCGTCGCGACAAGCAGGGCGACGCCGCGCGGGTCCCGCAGAGACGTCGCGACGAGCAGGAGCGGCGCCTCGCAGGGCGCCGCGTCGGGCAATGAAACCGCCACGCGCCCTGAGCACGCGACAGAAAAAGCCGCCACGCGCAAATAACACGTCACGCACCACGGAGCACGCGACAGACAGAACGACAGCGGAAGCAGTTGGTGGGCCCGTTAAGGGAAGCGGCAGGAACGTGCTCGCTCTAGATACCATGACAGAATCAAGAAGAGTAGGGCCTAGGCTAAGTAGCCTAGGCCACACGAGTACTAGGAGGTTGTGCCCTAGGGCTAGCGAGAATGTTGACCGAACAGAAATGAATGAAGAAAAGATGATTGCACTAGCAGGCAGGTTGGTACAAATAAGAAACCCTAAAGGGTTGTACTCATTATTGAGTACCCCACTGGAGGCTAGACAAAGAACATATTTTGACAGTTCTGACAATGACTAAAGTTTTCTCAGTAAAATGCATAAAGATTTACATTGAACGAAATTATTGTCCTTATGTATTCGATCTGTACAGGAAATTGATCCCAACTGTAAAATAAGCAAGTATTGTAATAAACAAATTGCGTTTGGTGTTCGCAACTGTGTGTTACCAGTTTGTCAGAATATTATAGCTTACTTATGTGTGTAGGCTATAGTGGGGTATCCCATAGGGGGTACAACCCAACTAGGGTTTCCTATTTGTACTCACTTCATTCGTAGTCATTTCATTCACGTTCCTTTCTTCACATGGTATCAGAGCAGGTCCCATCCTAGGGACTGTTCTTTAGGGCCCACCGAAGCGCGCCCGAGGCGCGCGCCTTTTTTTTTAGCGACCCTCCGAGTCGCCCTTTTCCTTCGCGGCCCCGCCGCCCTACTTCGCGGCCCGACCGCCGCCCTACTCGCGGCCCAGCCGCCGCCCTACCTTAGCGGCCCACCCGCCGCCCTTGCTAGCGGCCCCGCCGTCCTGTCGCGGCCCCGCCACTCCGTAGCGGCCCCGCCACCCCTTCGAGCGGCCCCGCCCCTTCGTCGCGGCCCCGCCACTCTGTCGCGGCCCCGCCACTCCGTCGCGGCCCCGCCACCCCTTCGAGCGGCCCCGCCACTCCGTCGCGGCCCCGCCACCCAATCGCGGCCCCTCTACCTCTTCGCGCGGCCCCGCCACTTCGTCGCGGCCCCGCCACTCCTTCGAGCGGCCCCGCCACTCTGTACATCACTCTCTACTTCCTAGTCACTCGCCTCCCTGACTCCCTTCGTGTAGTCCGGGACCACTTCCTCGCGGTCTGTCCCACTACCCTCACAGTCGACAGCCTCGAGAAGGCCCTCCTTGCAGCAGAGAAGAGCATAGTTGCTGTAGGAGCCTCTCGAGGTGACCCCCGCGCCCCCATCTTTGAGGGGTGTTCTCCTTCCCCTCTCCTGCCCTCTGTCGCCTCTGCCGCTGCGGCCGACCTCGTTGGTCTTGAGTCGGACGGTGCGGCGTCTGCCCCTAGCGGGAGACGCCGCTCTGGCAAGGGCAAGGGGGGCAAGGGAGCGGGTGGGGCCAGTGGGGGCGGTGGCGGTGGAGGTGGAGGCGGCGGAGGGAGTGGGAGTGGCGGTGGAGGTGGTAGCGGGGGTGGGGGTGCTAGTGGCGGCAGTGGAGGCGGGAGTGGCGGCGGCGGTGGCGGTGGTAGCGGAGGTGGCGGAGGCGGGGGCGGTGGAGGCGGAGGCGGGGGTGGCGGAGGTGGAGGTGGTCGGAGTGGAGCTTCGCAGCGGAGCGGCACTGGTGGCGGTCAGCGCCAGCAGCAGCAGCAGCAGCGTTCTCGCGACGTCCCCACCCCTCAGCAGCTTCGTGAGTGGTACACGCAGCGTCAGCGCGGTGGGGGTTTTGGTCCCTGCACCTACGTTCTCCGCACTGGCGACCGCACTGGAGAGCAGTGTGGGGGTGCCCACCCCGCCCAGCGCTGCTTTGGCCGCCTGACGGACGCTTGGCGTCAGCAGTTCCTGGAGGCCGCGGAGATCCCCCGCTGGGGAGAGCTGTCTAGGGCTGGTGTAGCTATCTTTGATCTTGATTTTGATGCTATCCTTGCTGCCATGTATGCTGTGAGTGTTAGTGATGAGGGTGACTGTTACCGGTGTTTCCCGCCCGACCCGGGCATTGGTACTGCTGCTCCAGGTGCCGGTGAGGCTTCTGCTCTAGGTGCCAGTGCGTCTGTGCTCTCAGGTGCTCGTGAGACTGCTCTCTCAGGTACTAGTGCGTCTGCGCGCTCAGGTACTGCGTCGGCTTTGGCCTCCCACACCTTCACTCTTGACTCTGGAGCGTCTCGCTCTTTCTTTCGGGACCGCACCTCACTTACGCCGCTTAGTCGGCCGGTTGCGGTTTCCCTGGCTGACCCCTCTGGGGGTCCTGTCCTGTCTCGCTTCTCCACAGTCCTCCCGTGTCCGGCGGCTCCCTCTGGCACCCTGTCTGGTCTCTACCTCCCCTCGTTCTCTACGAACTTGGTGAGTGGTGCTGACCTACAGGATGCGGGAGTCCACCAGTTCACCCCTGCTAGTCAGCGAGTGACGCACTGCACAGAGGCTAGCACGGGTCGTCACCTGGCTACGTTTACACGTCAGCCAGGGTCGAGCCTG